TTCCATCACTTTCACAATGGAGAAGGAAATCCACAATGAATTGCCATTCTTAGACGTTTTGGTGAAGAGGACCGACACTAAACTAATATATTTTTTAAAGTTATAATACTTACACGAAAGTTGGTTCCATTTTCCATTCACGTTCAAATCAGCCGTTTTTTGTCTACTCTCAGAACACTCGTAAACAACAAAATGCTGGCAAACGTTGTTTGCAATTAGTAACATAGTGTTTTCTTGTAAGGTAGACACCGCCATCTAACCGTAAAGTGCAAAAACTTAAGAACTTCATCATCCACCTTTGCGTCTGTTACTTATATGTAACGCAGGGCTTTTAACGGTTAACACCTTGACACGTGTTTCAATCACATAGTGATCATCTTCACGAGGAAGATTAAACTCTTGAACTCTTTCTCTTGAAGATGATTACTTGGAGATTGAAACACGTGTCGAGGTGTTAAAAATAACGGTTTGGTGTTGGCATACAACTCCGGTAATATTTATATTTATTGTATTCATTTATTTTAACTTGTCAGCATAATTAACATCGTTTTCTTTTGAGTATTACTTTCTATACCAGAAAGAAGAATAATGAGGATGATTTGACTAAAAATGTAAACATCAATTTTTTTTTAGAAATCAAGTCCATTTTGGTACAATGGTAAATAAAGCTGATCGTTCAGCATACAATCAGACTACTAACCAGGCAGAAAGGTAACGATAATATATACAATGATGATATATTATTTTTTCACTTTTGGTTGTCATATGAATGCATCGAAAATAATTGATGATAGGACAATTGCTCAATTTTGCTAAAGGTGAAACAAAATCTCAAAAAATGCCGCAGATTACGAGGAAACACAAAAATTGTGTGCTAGACCAGACATGTTTTATGGTCCAAATGTCACAGTTCCTGACGTAGATGAAAAGGAGTTGTCTCAGATAAAACAGGTTTCTATGAATAAACTTGCCGAGGGAGTGTCCTCGGAAGAAAAACTACAGAACAGAAAAGTCAATGAGAGGTCAATATGACAATGTATATTGGCGCAATTGCTACAAGATTATTTGACAGCATCCAATTTTGGCGCAGTGGTAATAAAAGTCAAAAACTCCCTGCCACAATCTTTGTCAAGATTCTCTATTCAAGAGGAGAACTAAAAACTCCTGATGTTATCTTTGATAGATTTTACTATTTTACTTCTATTCTGTTTTACTATTTTGGATAAAATAAAAATACTATGAAGCAACCATCAACAACCTTGTTTTATTTTTTGTCATGCAACTACTTGTACCAACCATACATTTTTGCCAACTGTTCAACACAAAACTAAACTAAGAAACAACATATGTTCGGACTACACTCAATAGATGGCGACAATATGATTCAGAAATTATTACATCAGCTTATTATTTTAACACCTTCTCTTAATAATTACTGAATCATTTGGTCAAATTAACAACATAAAAACAATTTAACAAAATGACAAATACATAAAGTTATTCCGGAATACCACACATCAATGTATTCCTGAATCTTTGAAATTTGTTTACATCCAAAGGTTTTGTGAATATATCAGCTGTTTCCTGCATTTCAGTTGGACAATACAAAATACTTATTATTATACCTTCTTTGATTCTCTCATTTATGAAATGGAACCTAACATGTGCTTCAGAACGTTTATTACACTGATTATTTTCTATTATTTTTATGGCACTTTGATTATCCACATTCAATTTTATTCTCACTTCGACATTTGTGAGTTCTTCAATTAAATATTTCAAATATATCAGTTCCTTAACACATTGTGCAGCAGCAATGTATTCTGCTTCAGTACTGGATAGTGATACTATTGGCCAAGAAATAGGGCCACCACAAAACATGATTAAACAGCCTGATTACACAGCCTGCTTTTTCGTGTTTCAGTGTCACCCGTAAAGTCACTGTCACTGTAAGCAGTTATTTCATATGTTGTGCTATATGCAATACCCAGATTTCTTGTGCCTTTCAGGTATCGAAGCACTCTCTTCATATTGGATATATCTTTATTTGTTGGATTTTCCATTCTTCTACATCCATATTCCATAGCATTTGAGATGTCAGGGTGAGTTTTGTTTGAAAGGTAAAGAATATAATAGAATTTATTCATCATTAAAATATCATACACATATAACATATACATTACTGGTATAATATTTATCAGACTAGTCACACAAACTGAATAAAAAGCAGCTTATACATTCAAATTTAAAAATTCTTCATCATTGTAAAAGGCATTTTCTAGGAGAAGGTATATTAGAGCTTTTTTGAATGTATTGTAATTTTCAATATTTCCTATTAACCTAGTTGCTTTGTTATAACATATGACTCCTTGATAGCTTGCCGAGTCTTGCCCGAGGGCTAATCGGGAGTAAGGTAGTCTCAGTTCATTTTCTCTGCGAGTATTGGAAGCAAACTTCCTAATAAGTTTCGGTATGGAAAGTTTGTGTCAAACACACTTTCGTCTTTTGTATCAGTCGCTGGAGGTGTTTTAGCCGGTTTCGCATCTTCCATGTCATTTTTCATGATTTTAAAACATTATTTACATAATTTTCTTGACTTATGATTATTGAATCTGCTTTCTTTTCAATTTCTAGACCAAGAAAGAATTTCGGATTATCTTCTGAAACAGTTTCGAATTTTTTGTCTAAGTTTTTCAAAAGATTATTCATTTCTTCTTCATTCTGTCGGATCAATATTCCATCATCCACGTATATGGCAAGCATAAGTGAACCGGTATCATTTAAAAATATGCAGTTGTCACTTTTGAGAATGTGAAGTCCGTTTAGTCTCAAAAAATTGGTAAAAGTTTTATTCCATTCTAAGGGGGCCTGTTTTCGGCCACAAATTGATTTTTTGAGTTTGCATACTTTGTTTTCTTCCGAATAGCCTTCTGGTATCTTCATATAGATCTCTTCAGACAATTCTCCATAGAGAAATGCAGTTTTTATATCAAATTTTTTGATAAAATAGTTGTTGTGAGCTGCTAATGCAAATAAAATTCTCAAAGAGCTCATATTTACCACGGGGCTGAATGTTTCTTTGTAATCCAGACCATATTTTTGCTCACAGCCTTGTACGACAAATCTCGCTTTGTATCTTCCGTTTTCTTTTATTTATTTTGAAAACTCATTTACTCAACAAAGTCTTTCACTTCACGAACACACATGTGTTGTTTTTCTTTAGTGATTCTTTTTCGTCTTCTATTGCTTTCAACCATTTGTCTTTTTCTTCACTATTTATTGCTTCTTATAAGCTAAAAGTACATGATTATAGTATTTTTTTTGGTGCTCTTACATCTCTTCCTCTGACAGTTGTTTGGCCTTCTCTGAATCTTAACATTTCATTGCTTTCATAAAATTCTTCTTCAGTCTTTGTTTCTTCTCTATTTTCTGGGTCAGATTCGTTTTCTGATTCCAAATCATTATTATCGTTTACTGGTACTTCTGGATCTGTCAATTTCTTACATTCATCATCCTTTTTATCGAGTAAGTTGCTATCAATCTTGTCTTCAAAAATAACATCTCTATGCATAATTATTTTACCTTTTTCATTGTCCCACAAACGGTATCCTGTTGAAAAATATCCAATGAAAATATACTGTTTACTCCTGTTTAGTGTTTACCACTTACAGTGGTAAAAAACATAGAAAGTTTCGATTATCTTTTCTTCATTATGATTTCCTACCACGTAGTAACGGCTACATATATCAATTTATTAATTCCCTTACATTTGTACCAATTTCTGAGGTCTAAGTCAATATATTCACCTCCATTATCACTTCTTATTTTTGATACTTCAAGATTATGGTAAGCTTCTACTTCAAGTACAATTTGTTTCAGATAATCTGAAACTTCACACTAATTTTTCAATAAGTAAACCATAGTGAAGTGGGTAACGTCATCTAAGAATGTTGAAATGTACCTTTTATTATCTCAAGTAACAGGATCCATAGGTCCACACAAATCCGTATGGATTATTTCAAGTGGTCTCACTGCTCTTGATCTGATTTTGTTGAATAGAAGTCGTGTTTGTTTTGCTTCCAAACATGTTTTACATGGTTTGCCTTTTTTTTCAGTCTGCTTTACTAATATTTATCCCTCTAGAGAGAACCAAAAGTCTTTTAATGTTATTAATACTTAAATGACCCAATTTTCGATGTCATAGTTTTTCAGTAAATAAACTTTCTGAATTATTGTCCAAATTCACTACGTAAAGTCCATTTTCTTTTTTCTGTCCTTCAAGATTTTTTTTATTGTTTTTTATTATGGTTACTTTTTCCTTTTCGAATATTACTTTTCCTTCCTTTTCGGTGAATTCATTGACTGAAATAAGGTTTTTACTTAGTTTTGGGATGTAAAGAACATCATTTGAAACACAGTCATTTGCTTCAATGGAGCCAATACCAAAACTTCTCATATTTTCACCTTTTTTAGCAACTAATATTTTTGATGTAGTTTCTTCCAAATAATTGAATATTTTTATATCATTACACATGTGGCTTAACGACCCTGAATCAACCACAACATTTTTCTGTGCTTATTTTGTTTTTATTTCGCCTTCTATCAAAAATGCAACTTTTTTGTCGTCTTATAATTGTATATATGAATGGAACATATATGTTATGTATCTAAAATGTTATGCATGCATTGCTGCAATGATTTATATTTTTACTTGTCTGTGAATTATGTTGCTTCTGTAACAGAAATTTGTATTTAAAGGTAAATAAAGCACCTATTTATCATCAATAACAAATCTGCACCTTTCAATCAAAACTTTGCTGCATTTATGTTATTTAGGTGTACACTTTCTTTGGTAGTGCACTCCTTTGAAGAATATTAGATATTTTGGTTATTAGAATATCAAATGCTATTTATACTTCGTGTTGAATATATTATTTGTTATGAAAAAATATGTTAGTAGTTACGAGATAAATATATTTACAATGTATACAAAATCTCACCTGGCTGTGGTCCCCAAGCCCATCTGTCCAGAAATGAGTCTATAGATGGTAATTTTTCCTTATTAGGTACATTTTGAATGGATTCTTCAGCATCAAGTTTTTGGCAGGGTTGACAATTACAACCACTGTGTGGACCGCAAATTCCATCGCAACAAGTACAGGTTAAAACCTATAATTAAAAATATATGGGTAGAAACAAAAACGATATTTCAATAAAAATGAATTCATACAAATAAGTGGCAGAGTCTACTTTACCATTAGAAAGGATTTACTTTTAGAGAATTATGTAAAGTGAAAGTTTTTCATTTGAAGTGTAATTTGTTTAGAATTTTCTATATAAAAAGTTTTTTATTGTTATCAACTAAAGATTATAAAAAAAAATGTTACCTCCACTCATTTACCAAAGAAATTACATCCAGTTGAGTTTTAAAACGTGATTATTTTGATACACAACACCATACAAATACCTAGGACTGCCTAGAGGGTTACACACGATGCACCAGGCCATATAGTTAAGAGGGCTAAATTCAAAGGTGTTTTTTTTTATTAATTGTTGAGTGACGTTGTGACCAATAAAACACCAGAAGACACATAAAATAACAAACCAAACAAAACATATTTCGTATATTTAATTGGAATTGCCAGATGATGCACAATATGACATACTATAGGTGATGCCTGGGCAGAAACAGTTATCGCTATTCAAAGAGAAGTTTGAATGGACTGTCTGCCGCGCCAGTCAGAGTTGGTTACCTTGATTGTACCGCTCTGTCAGCCCACGATTTTTAATTTTTTTTAGGCGGGGCAAAAACTGAAAAATGCCGACTCCGCCACTTATATTTATTTTTACTTTTATCCTCTCTAATTTCAGCTATCAGATGTTCACAGATTAACATTTGGACATAGGCTTTTCAGGAATAATGCATCCATCGCTGTTATTTCTGTATCATGCCAATTTATTTTCAGATATATAGACATGAACGTGTAGGATATACAGTGTGTAAAAGCCACATAGAATAAATCCATTATTTCGGTTACGGTACTTATTTTAACAAAATCCCGAAACACATCAAATTTAAATTATAATTTGACATACTTCATCGGAAAAATGCTACTCCTACCTATATATGTCAAATATGTCAAAATGTGTCCCCTGTGTACTATTGTTGACGTGCTTTTTTATTTTACCTGAAAAAAACATTGTACCAAAAGTTATTCAGGATGGCTCGTTTTGAATGGAATGGAATGTACTAGATATGTATATATATCGTGATATATCGTTTGAAAGGTCTCTTCATTCTCTATTCAAAAATGTTATCGCTTTCGAAATTATTGCAACAATCAAGATAAAATAAATTAAAATCATGTGCTTACGGAAATTCGATAAAATACACTCAAAACTTATTGTAATATACTCAAAACTTAATTCATGTTGAGGTATTGATAATAAGAAAGTAATCAAAAACCATAGCAATGTTCTTTTTAAATGGTATCCTTCAAAAAAGTGTAAATAATTTCCGTGGCAATGTTAGTTAAGAACGCCTTGTCAACTTGTTTTGTATATTAAAACATTAGTTGTCAGTATTTTAAGTTTAGATTTCGTTAATTTCAATTCGACAAATGGTTAGATTAATGGAAATGCATAAACTAACAGTTTCACAAATGATTGATTATGGAGGTAAAACCCAAACACAACAGGAAGTACCTCATGATAAATTTCCTAATTTACCGCCCATATCCCAAGGAATAATAAGCTTGGTCATGTGGGGCAGATAAAAAAGCAGCTGTCAATGCAATGAGTGATGAACTCAAATTAGATGTGATGCTTGAGTTTGAGGAAAACCCACATACATCTAGTGGACAGGCATTCACTACATTCAATGTTAGCCATACATCGACAGTAAACATATTAAAAGAAAATAAAATGCATCCTTATAAAATGATACCTACTCAGGAGCTCATGGAAGACGATTTTGATGGAACGTATTTTTCTTATTAGTCAGTGGGCAATGCTTGAAGACTGGCAGTAAACAAATCTAAAGAAATTAACTTCAAACGTTCAAGCCAGTCTCGAATAGTTGAATGGACTGACGCCTATCAGAAAACAACTACTTCACTGGATAATACCACGAAGGGCGTTGGATTATATCCGACAGGCGTCAGTGCAGGAATCTTCACAGAAAATGTCCTGCATATGCAATTGGCAATACAACTGACAGAGTCGACCTTCAATTTTGGAACAGGCACACTTGCAGACCGGTTTCAAGCTCATTAGCCACTCATCAGTGCAAAATAGTGGCCATCATCGACTTTAAGTCAATGATATTCCATAATTGAAAATCGAAATTCTTTCAGAGTATTTCATTCCTCTTCCTAAGTTGGAGCGAACAACAAAATGTCACACCATCTAGTGGACGAGGTACTAACCAACTGCATATCCATAATTTGCCCGATTCCTCTGAATAAGGAAGAAAAACTTTCTTATTAGTCAGTGGACAATGCTTGAAGACTGGCAGTAAACAAATCTGAAGAAATGAACTTTAAACTTTCAAGCCAGTCTCGAATATACCTACAGAGTAGGTTGAATGGACTGACGAATTTGCCCGATTCCTCTGAATAAGGAAGAAAAACTTTCTTATTAGTCAGTGGACAATGCTTGAAGACTGGCAGTAAACAAATCTAAAGAAATGAACTTTAAACTTTCAAGCCAGTCTCGAATATACCTACAGAGTAGGTTGAATGGACTGACGCCTATCAGAAAACAACTACTCCCCTGGATAATACCACGAAGGGCGTTGGATTATATCCGACAGGCGTCAGTGCAGGAATCTTCACAGAAAATTTCCTGCATATGCAATTGGCAATACAACTGAAAGAGTCGACCCTCAATTTTGGAACGGGCACACTTGCAGACCGGTTTCGGGCTCATTAGCCACTCATCAGTGCAATTACGGATATGCAGTTGGTTAGTACCTCGTCCACTAGATGGAGTGACATTTTGTTGTTCGCTCCAACTTAGGAAGAGGAATGAAATACTCTGAAAGAATTCCGATTTTCAATTATGGAATATCATTGACTTTAGATCGATGATGGCCACTATCTTGCACTGATGAGTCTACAAGTGTGCCCGTTCCAAAATTGAAGGTCGACTCTTTCAGTTGTATTGCCAATTGCATATACAGGAAATTTTCTGTGAAGATTTCTGCACTGATGCCTGTCGGATATAATCCAACGCCCTTAGTGGTATTATCCAGGGGAGTAGTTGTTTTCTCATAGGCGTCAGTCTATTCAACCTACTGTGTAGGTATATTCGAGACTGGCTTGAACGTTTAAAGTTCATTTCTTTAGAACGTATTTTTGTGAGCAAATGATGGACATGTTGGATAACAATATCATCCAATTAGAAGACGTTATGTTTTCTGATGAGTGTACTTTGTCTCTTAACAATCATGCTAATCGGCAAGATTGCCGTTACTGGTCAACGGAAAATCCTCACTGGATGAGAGAAGAACACATGCAACACCCTCATAAGATTAATGTTTGGGTTGGGTTTGTAGGAAACCTTATCATTGGTCCCTTTTTCATTGAGGGCAACTTGAATGGCGATAATTATTTGGCACTACTTCAAAATGATGTCATTCCAAGTTTAGCAAATTTATATCCTGATCCAGGAAACCCTCAAGTTCTAGTGAATACGAAATGGTTTCAGCAGGATGGAGCACCACCACATTACCAAGTTAATGTCCGGCAATATCTCGATACATTTCCCAATCGGTGGATAGGGAGGCGAGGATCGATTGAATGGCCAGTGCGATCACCTGATCTTTCATCATTAGATTTCTTTTTATGGGGATATGTAAAGAGCAGGGTGCACAAAACTAAACCTTCAGATTTAAATGACTTAAAAGAACAAATAACGCTTGAGATTAGGTCGGTCACGCCTGATATGTTAAATAATGTTAGAAGACAGTTTTATTTGAGATTAGGATGTAGTCAAGACGTTCGAGGCGAACATTTTGAACGTCTACTTCGTTAACATCCATAGTTCTTTTTCGTATTCTACATTTCATTACGATTTGCATTACATTTTAGTTTTTGAGTGTATTTTATCGAATTTCGGTAACCGCATGATTTTAATTTATTTTATCTTAATTGTTGCAACAAACTTGAGAGTGATAACATTTTTAATAGAGAATGAAAAGGGCTTTTAAACGATATATCACAAACCTATACTTCTCATAAAAAATTGGGGGTTGTACCTGTCATTCGAAGGGGGTTGAGGGTAGGGGTGGCATTTTTACGTTGAGGAATGTCAAGTTATAATTTACATTCGACGTGTTTCGGTTTTTTTTCAAATATGTACAGTAACTGAAATAATTAATTTATTCCATTTGGTTTTTACACACTGTATTTTTTTTCATAGCACAGGATATGATTTACAATAAAAATATGTATAATAAAAATAAAAACCAAAAAAAATATGGTAATTGTGAATTGGAATTACAATTTTACTCTTCGAGCTTTTTTGTTCAGCAAATAAATGTATGGCCTTGTTTTAACTCCTGTGCAATTCGGTTTTCTATCGTTAAGATTGCAAGCTCGATAAGAGGTCCTGGCTCTTAGAAGATCGCGTTAGTTTTAGTTTGCTAAAAATTCACTTACAGCTTGCGGATGTAGTAGGAAGCATAGAGTTAATTCGCAAGGCAATACAAATATTAGGAAAAGCATCCTGCAAATCATGCCCTTAGATCCGTTGCAAGAGACAGAAACTGTTAGCAATTTCTATATCACCAAATGAAAGTGTAGCAGAACTCAACGGTGCTTAAGTATCGCTCGTAGTTTCGAGCCAGATCTACTCCATACTTTTGCAGTTCTTTAATTGACATTTTCAAAATATTAGTACCACTAAGAAAAGCAAAATTTAAATTCAGCATGATAGCAAAATCAAACCTCTTTTTAATTTCTGATATGATTCGATCGAATTATATTATTATTTGTTCAGAAAATAGTTGAATGCTTGTAATTCGTCTTCACACATCTTATCGAAATGTTTTTTACGTTTCGAAATTCATTAGCAAAATAGGCTCAACACCAGTTTTTTCAGCAACTTCTCCAGCCTGTTTTATCCAATATTTCATTGGATTTTGTCTCATTTTTTGCGTGCGACGGTACGAGCAAGGATACTATCTTCATTTTGAATTTCTATATTCACTCGATTGATATCGCGGAGAATATTCGCCCAAATAGTTGAATTAAAAATAAATTTAATTTTTTCCTAGCAGTTGAGAGATGACCTGCCTCGTACTTAGCTCCTGGAGCATGAGAAGTTTGCTTAACAATTCGTTTAATTTTCGGACGGTGATTTTTGAATCGTGTGTGCATTCATTAAAACTATCTTTGCCAAATGCTTGATTGATTTTAAGGGCTGTTTCGACAGCGCTGTGGTTCAACTTGAATTCATAGAGAAAAATTGGCCGAAAATCTCTTAACGACATCATATAGTAAGAAGCCGAAAAGAGGCAGAAAATTAAAATTTGGAAAAATGAACGGCATCAATGTATAGAGTTCAAAATTCTCTATCGATAAGTATATACCACAAAACAGTAAAATGAATATTTATTGACATTAAAACGGACAAAACTCTTGAAATAACGGTGTCTACTGTTAATCACAACAAACCGTTACCATCGGCGCAAACATCCCTCTTGCCGTCACAAAAATTTTAAGGCGCGTTTTTCTGTCTGAATTTCTATCGGTTCAATCACATTCAGAATATATTTTACATACGCGATAATCAATTATGAAGGGTTTTGTGATGGAATTGGCTGATGAAAATCCATAACTTATTCAAGTAACACTGTATTGTGAGATTTTCGCTAAACAGTTCAAGAAACGTGTTTCGCTATACAATAGCTTCCTGAAGCATTTTCATAATGACTTGATTCTACTTAATTGGTAATGAATAAATGAATAACAATTTCAGGTCTGTTCAGGTAAAAAGTAACTGAAAATGTGTACACATCATAAAAGAACATTTTATCAACTCATTAAATGGGCATGTACAGTTCCAGCTTTATATTATAACATATGACCTCCTACTCACTCAAATGAATAATAATTCCACCTGAATTTAGGTAAAAACTTATTTCAAAACTACGAAATAAAATTTTAGCAACTCGTTGAATGATAATCTAAAAAACTGAGTACCGATTTCCACATCAAAAAACAGATTTATTATAGGAGAATAATTCGGGGAATTTTCAAAATTCTTGAATCTATTAATTTCTAAGCACTCCAAAAGATTTAGATTCAAACCTTTCTCTTCCAAATGTAATACCTCATAATCATGGTTGAACTCATGCCCCTCTGTCAAGAGATAGTTTGCAAATGTGGAATTTGTCTTCATATGCAAAAAACTACTCCTATTGTAGAACCTTCTATGGCAAGAACCACAAGTCCATTTATATACCTACTCCTTATATAACCGACACTGAAGTTTTGCCTTCATTATTTTTGATGATTTTGCTTGAATTATTATTTATTTAGTAAGCCACGTCCAAATCTGTCCTTTTCAAAAAACGAGCGATGTTATTGGTGGATTCACCAAAGTATGTCAATGTTCTAAGACGCTTATTATTGTTTATTGAAGTGGGATATAGACCAGGGTCGATAATTTTTTAAACCAAAAAAATTACAGTAAGATGAAACCCAACTACAAGTCATATGGAAAAAATTAAATGAAAAAGTTTTAGGTGATAAAAAGATCTAAAACTTTTTTATCCACAATTTTTTGACATAATCTCAAAATTTATGTAAAAAAAATCAAATAACCAAGTGTTTGNAACATTGGCCAAATTTGACAAATTCTTAGACTCAGACGCTCCTAGCTCCTTCTCCACTTCTCTATGAAATACCTAATCAATGGGCTAAAATTTTCCGTAGGTCACTCATACATAAATTATTTTAAAACAGCAATAAATAGACATCTACAAATATTATTCAAAAAAGATTCTACAACCATCTCAAAAAATTATTAAATATTAACTTATTTGTTTGTTAATTGTAGTACTAAGAATATTTCGATTTGCCAGCTTTTCGTTTATCAATGTAACATGGAATCTTACGTTTTTTGAGTAACTGAAGTGTACATTTTAATAAATAGCTCAAAATTGTACATAATGAATAAAAAAAATCTCGAATTCGGGTTTTTTTCGATTCTTTACATTTTTTGAGAATATTTACTATAGTAATGTATATTTTTTGGCATCTACAAATATTATTTAAAGAAAATTCTACAGCCTTCTCAAAATATTGTAGATGTCTTATTAAAATTAACTTTATTTACTCATTTGTTTGTTAATTATAGTAGTATATTTCAATTTGCAATTTTTTTGTTTATCAATGTAACATGGAATCTTACGTTTTTTGGGTAACTGAAGTGTAAATTTTAATAAATAGTTCAAAATTGTACATAATGAATAAAAAAAAAATTTCGAATTCGAGTGTTTTTCTATTCTTTACATTTTTGAGAACATTTACTGTCCAGTGTAAACCTCACAACGTGCTACTTGAATATGAAGGGTTATTTTCCGCCAATGAGAAAGATACGTGCAAGTGGCCTATATTAGGAAATGGAAAAGTTGAACCAGTAAAAGTTTGAAAGTCAACAGCGAAAGGTTCTTGAAAGTAAATTTAGATTCAACCAGATTTGTTTCAATAGAAATGTATGTCGAAAAAATTGTCCAAAGCCTTTTCACTATGAAAGGATAATCCAGATCACTTAAGACTGGCTAATTGCTCAAAAAGCACCAAAAAACCATGAACTGAATAAGAAACAAGCAAGCAATTTCAATTGTTAGGGATACTTTTTTAAATGTAAATAAATTTGTACTATAACTAATATTTACCCTCTGGCCACAGTAGTATTTGCCAAGTTCTCCTTGCTTTGCAGTTACTCCAGCACTATTCAAACGTCCGACAGAAAAGTTTCCAGTCAATTCTCCATCAGTTATGAGACTATTCCAAGAATTGATCAAATTATCCTGACCAATGAATAATGATTCTATGTTGGTTTTGAGCCATTTGATATCAAGTCGTGGCTGGGGCCGCAATTGTGTCTCAGTGTGAGACATTTAGGTAGCTTAGAGATCACTGAAAATTAATATTTTTTAATATTCTCACTTTGATAATGACAGATGAAAACATTAGTGGAAGATTACTTCAACAATCATTGAATCTAGACAATTATAATACACAATCACCCACAGAACTCCTTAAATAGCTTCTACCCCCTATAAAAAGAACTACATAGCAAAGATTTATCTTGAAAATTATTTCTTTTTGCATTTTTCATACCTGTAAAAAAAAGTAAACATTTTAACAAATTTGACATTTGTTTTAGACTGACTGACAGACAGAAAAAAAAACAACATCATTAGACCACAGAACACCCTAACTACACAGAAGTGTAAGTGAAAGGCGGCACTTTGATCTTCAAGGGTGGCAAATTGCCGAAAAGGCAGAGCCATAAGAAGAAGAAGAAGAAGAAGATCTTCAAGGGGTGATTTTCGTGTCCTTCCCCCACTCCTTAGTATTACATATGTCAACGGCAAATTTTAATTAAATGAAATTAATGTAGTTCTGGGTGTACCTACTTCAGCAATCGATTGGAAAATATATTCAGGGATTCCTTCTGAACTGACATATTACTTTTGTAATATGTCACTTTTCATAAAAAAATATTCGAGAATCTAAACTATCGCAACATAACCGGTAGAGTTTTTTTTAATGAAGATTATCCATTTATACCCATGGTATATTGGCTTCATTAATTAGGGCAATCTCAGCGCCATATAGGTCGTAGTCGACGGCAAATATCATTAAACGATGAAATTGGAACCTTTGGTGTACACTTTTTTTAGAGATCAATTACCCTAACAACAAATTTGCACTCGACTCGCGTTTCGCTTAGAGGTTAGTATCTTCAGAAGAAATTTGATGCTAAATCTAAAGACAGGAGTAGCTGTTTATAAAATAAATAGCGAAACGCGCGTCTAGTGCATATATTATCAGTTTGGTGTTAGGTTAATTGATCTCTAAAAATAGTTTGACCAAATATCAATATGAATTTATTGTAGAAGAAATAAAATTCATTGTTGGCATACACTACCAAAGAAGTTCTCGATACAATTCTGGTTCACTCTCCTTGTTTTCAAATATTTGAATCCAGACAGTTTCAATGTGTACCAGAGTTTCAGTATTCCATTTATAGTAATCTGCCAACAATTTATAAAGTTCATGGTGGAGGTTATATCATCGCTTTTTTGATTCAGTATGACCAGTTTTTTTACAAATATCTTCATTTCTTCAAGAAACTTTGTTTGATAGTCTGCTCCTTCAAATACATTTTTCCAAGCATTAGGTGAGTTTTTTACTGAGGAATTCAGTATATCAAAGAGATTATTGAATTTTTCAATAACTTGAATAGTATGCATGGCGTCACCAGAGAGTGCACCTAAACTCACCTGAGTATTCATACCACTTGCAACTGTGTTGCACAATACTTGTACAGCAAATTTCACTTTCATTCTCTCAAAATTATTCGGAGAAATATGTGAATCGGTAAGTTTAGGTGCACATCTAAAGGTTTGTTCCTTATCTTTTTCATAAAATGATTTTATATATGACCAGGAGGTCTCATTTCCATCAAAATAAAAAGTATATTTCATGAGATTATTTCTTGTAGCCTTCAAAATATATGGAGTATCGAAAATATAAATGATTTCCTTATTCGCTACAGAGAAAACAGGCTCATCTGGAGTTGTGTCAAATTCTCTGGACAGTTTTGTGAAATTTGATCCCATATCTATAACTAATGCATCGACTCTCAATCCTATATCCAAAAGTTTTTTGTACATTGTTCAACGACATTTTTCAATTGTTCAGATTTGAAAGCTTCATCTACAAAAAAATAGGCAAAGGGCTGCGTCCAATTAGAATAAAGCCTCCTTATCATGAATACTGTGGCATGATTCGCAGGATATTTGCCATTTTCCCCAAGATCAGTGAAACCACTGATCTCATCTCTTCCTGTTCGGTAGAATAGATTACATTTGAGAGACATCTCGTCAATACACAGAAAACAATGTTTTTCTTGTTCTAACATTGAGCCGATCTTTATTTCTAGGGTCTTGAAAAGAATCATTTCCCAAACCTGCCTTGCAGATTATTTTCTCTGTAATCCTTTGCAATGATCTTTTAGTTGGCAAATATAATAATTTCCTGAGAAAGTTATATGCACGGGGACCGAGAAAATAAAGTGTTAAAGCAAACTGTTTGTATTCTGCAGTATATCTACGTCCTCTTGCTTTCCTAGTGTGCAGTCTTGCTTGAACCTTAATAATGTTTGCCAAATGGGGAGAGAGAAATTTATCACACATCTGATCAAAATCTTCAAGAGTCGATGACTCTTTCAATTCTGTGATAGTCTACATGCAAGTTTCCTTCTCACAATTTTCAACTTCTCCCTCAACTTTTCCTTTCTTGGACTGTAACAACTCAAATGTGCAGGAGTCTGTGTTGAAGCAGATGGAGATATCAAACAACTATCTTCTTGTTCCTTGTTGTCTACAGTAATGGAATTATATCATGGAGATATCAGTTTATGATATCAAAGTGAAACATTACACTTTTATATCGAAGAAATAAATTTTATAAACGATCTCGTGCCTATTGGGCATCGTCATTACCGGACAGGCGGTCCGTGATTGAAGACAAAATGTGACAGCCATCTTGATTTCGTACAGGTTGGAGCCTGGCTTGCTTATCCTTTTGACTGATGTTTCTCAGAGAGAAATGCTTCATGACTGATGGAGGTGTTGATGGTATGAAAGCATGAATATCCTCAGACATCAGTGCCGCCCTTCGCGCGGTGTACCCTACCTGACTGGAGTGAGATGGATGAAAAAATTGTTCATCTTTTAACGAAAGACACATAGGGGCCTCATTCGACAGAGTGTCGGAGCCTTCTATATCGGGGTCGTCTACAGTATAATCCATAGCTTCCCTAACTAATGGGTTTTCATGAGTTTCTGCGCAATCAAAAACTCGCTGATTCCTTGACTGAATGGACTGCCGAATGGAAGGTAGCTGCAAATCTCTGCGGATGGCTTCATTCCACAAGAACCAAGGAGCATTCACAATCATCCTCATTAACTTGTTTTGCAATCTCTCCAGAGTGGAGATATTATACGTAGCCGTCCCCAGACGCCTGAAGCATACATGATGACAGGCTTGAACATCGTATTGTAGATAGTAATTTTGTTTTTGAGGCTCATTTTGGATTTCCTGTTGATCAGAGGTACAGACTAGCTATCCGACCCTCGATCTTTGTTTTAACGCACATGATGTGCGAGTTTCAAATGAGCCTACGGTCTATTAGAAGACGAGGAACTTTACCCGCTCCTGCCAGTCAATCTCCCTTCCCAAGATTCTCACTTTTCTGGCCGGAGAAGATTTTAATCTTCCCATGGTTATCGCCTGAGTCTTGTCCGGGTTCATTCGGATCTTTCAATCCAGGTACCAGCGCTCGAGGTAGTCCATTGCACGTTGCATATAGACGACACCGAGCTCCCGACCCATGGAAGATGAGAGTAGAGCCGTATCATCGGCGTACAGGGATATCTTCACACGCTCAGTCCTCGGAAGGTCACTGGTATAAAGTGAGTACAGCGTCGGGGAGAGCACGGCCCCCTGTGGCACTCCAGCGATGATCTCTCTGTTGTCAGACAGAGAACCCTCTACTCTAACCTGAAATGTTCTGTCTTTCAGGAAAGACCCAATCTACCGGATCAGGCCCCGAGGCAGGTCGAACGCGATAAACTTGTGCAGAAGGCCTTCGTGCCATACACGGTCGAAGGCTTTCGAGATGTCTAATAAGACGACATGAACTATTCTGCTGCGATTCAGCTCCGCGATGGTATTTTCGACCCATTTCAGAGCCTGTAACTCAGCGGAGCACAACTCTTTCAGTCAACATAGCCGCCGACGAGAGCAGACTGATCGGGCGATAGTTCTGCGGGAACAGGGAGTTCTGGCCCTGTTTTGGGATTATGACGACGATCGCATGCTTCCACCTTCTGGGGAAGTATCTGAAGGTCAACGAGCTGTTGATGATGTACAGTAGGTTTTCAAGGCAATTTACAAAATCGAAGAAAAGTACTTAATAAAAATAACTGCGTAAACGCAAGCGAGACATAAGTGGAACCACCTATGGGTGTGACTCCCAAGCCAAGTTTTTATGTCAGTGTTGGTGGTTTGACCAATCATCCTACAACTGCGGTGGCTGTTGATCGTAGACCGCCTGTCCGGTACTGACGATGCCCAATAGGCTGAAACAGCTGTCTACCGGTGGCTCTTAAATTGAAATCAATATGGGAATGATCAAAGAAGTACTTTGATGCACCGGAGAGGTGCATTGTGACATGCTCCGGGTTGCCCCTTTCCTCTCATGCAGACCTACGACTTTTTAGGTACGTGTGGCAGATACCCAATATAGTTCTAATTGTAATTCTCAAAATCAAATCGATTACGCTTAATTTATGTTGAATATCATATGTTAATAATTCAAAATCAACTTGTGTATTAGATAAACCAATATTCTTGAATGAGGTTGTCTATCAAAAGTTTATAGTTTTATAAATATCATAAAAACATAAAACAAATGAAGGTGTTGGGTAAAAAAGTTTTCTAGCCCAGCCACCACCATATTCTCTAATAGAGACGAGTCTACCTGCATCAGATTCATAATTGGTTGAAAAATGGTGTTATATTCTTCCTGATTCTTTTCAAAATGAAGCCAGCTACATAACTAGTGAACAACTAATTCAACTTTCCAGATATAGAGTGCTACACTGATCAAGTGTTATATCTACATATTGTATAGCTTCAGTAATATTACTGTCAGCATTACATTCACAAAACAGTCCCTTCAAATAATTGAACAAGTTTTCACATCTGTCATCTTCACAATTGTATGAATTTCTGTGAAATGAAAGGCTGCATTAAAAAGCAGTTTCATAATGCTTGTGAATTGGGAAACTGAAGGATTGGTTTATAAGGCTCCAAAGCTTCTCAATTGACCGAACATATTTTCAAGCGGATCCTGGTTCAGCCGTCTTGTTAACAAATGATCAAAACCATTGGACTTTAGAACTTGCCAAATATTTTTCACATTTTTTTATGACAAATTATAAATTCTTCAGGCTGGGAGGCCTTCTTTCATTATTTTTTTTATCAAATTGATGGATGTAGCCGTTACTACGTGGTAGGAAATCATAATGAAGAAAAGAGAATTGAAACTTTCTATATTTTTTACCACTTTTATTGGTAACTAACGTTACTGCAGTTTCGTCCTATAAGGACATTTTCAAACTTAAACTTACAGTTTGAATTTACTGCAGTAACGTCAGTTACAAATAAAAGTGGTAAAAAACATTTTCTTCTCATAGATATGTTCATCAGTAATTTGCGGCAGAACTTTTAAACCGTCAATTGGCCGATTATCATTTTTATAGAGCTTTTGTACATTGCTATTTTCCTGACATTATTTTTTCATTTATTGAATACAGTAAATCCTGTTTTTCTGTGATATATACTTTGCAGAGACCTCTACAGGTGATCACAACGAACTACGAAAGCGTCCCTGACCTTGATTATTTGCGGGAAACGTCCGAAGGTTTGTTCTGGTTCAAACATCCGAAACTGTTTGGAAACTGCACAAGACATGATGCGTACGAACAAAAAAATCTCAAACAGTCCGATTGTCTCGGACACCAGAACGCTTTTGAGGAGAACATTGTGCCACCTATCGTATATATGAAGAGATGAAGACGAGAAAATACTATTGACCATGTTCATTTTGTTATGTAACGTATCCTTATAGTCAGTTCAAATGTTATCTAACATCTTTTACAATTCCAAAAATTTATTCTTGGCATGTTTTTGACAAACTCATTAGTATAAGATTACAAAGAGGCGACAATATATTTTCAATTCAATTTTGGATAACCGGAGGTAACGTCTTAGTTAATTCCTTTTACTCTCATTTTTTCAAAAGTCCAATGATCATTATACCAGAGTAGCGGTACCTAACCTCCAATCTTTGTTTATACACTTGTCTGAATAATTTTTTTATTCCAGAACTGTTCTGTGACTGTAATGTTCTGCGCATTGATTCGGCGTCGATACGGGACGGTTCAATAACAGTTCGAAATACAGAACCAAAACAAACCTATTAATTACCGTTCTGGAATAGTTCCAAATCGGTTCGTAGAAAACCAAAACACTTTGTGAACGATACTAGAACGGTTCTAACTGAACCAAAACACATTTTAATAACTGCGCATGATCGAACTGTACAGAATTGTGAACCAAAACAAACCTATAGACTAAGTGGTTTGTGAATTTTATTTCGTGTTTAACCACATTATATTTTACCAGAAACATTTTTTAAGTAAAATATCAAATTGTAACTCACGGGAGTGAGTCAACTATTATAATGGATCAAACTATTGAGGAGGTAAGTTGTGTTATAAGTGAAGTTTCATGAATCAAAAGAAATCATTAAACTTTTTTAATTCAAAAACTTGGAGATTATGATACTAATTATGTTCGACAGTAAAGTGCAAAACTTTCCTAATAGTTATTGAGCAAACGATATTGAATTACTTCTCTTTTGTCTTTTACATAATTTAGTAAATAAGTCCATATAAAAATAAGAAGAACCATTAGATAGTCTCTGCAATGCAAATATCAGATTAAACAACAGAATTAATCACATTTTAAACCAATTGTATTCTGTCTATCTACATAGTTGTAATCAAAACCCATTAGTTTTGCTATTTTTTTTGAATAATGATGTATCATTAGTGTTTTTAAAGTAGAGATGATGAGCAAGTTTTAAAACTCCTATCACTTAAGTATGTGTCCCTATAGATATTTAGACTTCTTTTATGAAGAATATTGAAGTATACTTGCTAGGACCCCTAACAATCTGTTTATTGAAAAATTTGTCAGATTAACAGCTGACTCAAAAGAGATTCTAGTCATCTTAAGAGTTTCTCTTCATTGTTTCATAGTTGAGTAACTCCCTGAAAGGTCTCAAAGTTAGCAGTTCATTGAACTTATTCAAAGCAATTTTGGAAGGGGGATTTCAATCAAGCATGATATTAGAAAACATATATTTTAAACACAATTCCTTATTTACAAATATTTATTAAGGGTCCAAACCCTACAAAATGTATTGGTTGAATGCCTTCCTGGCTGTATCATTTGTGAATATTATGTTATGTAGATATATTGAAATAACTTGAAGAGGGACACGTGCATATCTTTAGGGTGGCAGAGTATCCTCCAATATCTAACATTCGGCCATCCTACATGGTCCTTGTCCTCAATCTGAAACAAAATCATTATTTATCAATGCAGCCAAGAAAATTGATTTTCCTCGATTTTTTCAGGATTGGAAGAGCTTTCCAATGTTTACAAAATCTGAATGTTATTCATAAGTGATGACCGTTCCTATACAAATGTGCTTGTGGGAGACAGTGTTTTAGAAATTTGTCATCACCCACCATCACAAATTTATACGGATCTGCGCTCATGAGAGCCAGTGTTTTAGAAAACTATGATGGATAAACATTTCTATGGGACTGGCCATGTACCACACAGTGTTTTAGAAATGTGTTTGATTTTTTTTGTAATGACCATTTCTACGGAACTGCTCTCCTGAGAGACAGTATTTTAGAAATTTGTCTGGATTGTCTTTCTGTGAAACACCATCTGTTCTTACCATGGTATTCATCTTCAAAATATTGTCCGGTAATGCACCCCCATATTTTGACCAATTTATTGGTTTCAATTACCAAATTCATAATTACTCCACTAGGGGGAATTCTAATTTATATGTACCATGTTTGAACTTTACACGATCCGTGAACTCCTTATTCCATAAAGGACTATTGGACTACAATAACCTCGCGCTTGAGATTAAACAAAGTGAATCTATTATGACATTCAAAAAAAGGACTTACTAGTCATTTGAAGATACAACATTCACCTCAACGTTGATATTATAATAACATATATATCTAATATTTGTAATTGACATTGTTATTTTTTCTATGTATTGAATGCTTGGATAATTCCGAGCATACATGTTATGAAGTTGGACTGTGACTTTGTCTATCCAATTTTAAAATGTTTTTGTATATTAAGATGCCTATTTGAAATAAATATATGATTATTATTATTACCCTCCATCACAAATTTCTACGGAACTGCGCTGGAGGGAGCCACTGTTTTAGAAAATTGTGATGGATAAACATTTCTACAGAACTGTTCATGTACGATGAGAACATGCACAGTGTTTTAGAAATGCGTTAACAAACATTGAGGAATAATTTCTGCAGGATTGAACTGGTGAAAGTCAGTGTTTTAGAAACTTCAACAAACAGTTATGACTTCAGTTTCTACAGAACTGGACTCTTAAAAGTCAGTGTTTTAGAAACTTACTATATGTCGTCGGTTCTGGTTATGAATGGCTTCATATGTTCGGCTGCTATGACAGCTTCATTGTGTTTGCCTGTTTTACATATCTCAGATGGTTTACTTTTAGTACAGTGTACTGCACAAACGAATGTGAATTTTGTGAATGAATCTACTATTACCAGTAAATACTTATTATCATTTTTAATTTTTATAAGTGGTCCAACATGGTTTATGTGTAGAGTATGAAATGGACGTGCATACTTCACAATAGAAAATAAGGACCCTGGATTTTTTCCTGCTTGAACCTTATAATATTGACACTGAAGGCAAGATGTAATATACTTGGTAATGAACCTTCTCATATTGGGGAACTAATATCTATCCATAACCCTTTTCAGTGTCTTTTCAACCAAGAAATGGTCCATTTCATCATGATTTGCTTGTATTACTTGCCAACAACAATTTTTGGGGACTACCGACCATTCTCTTATTCTAAAAACTCTATCCGCCCTCAAATCATTGATAAGTCCCAAATCTTAATTTTTTCTTATTTTTCTAATTTCTGGATCTTCATTTTGAACTTTAGCTAACCAGTCACCCTCAGAAATGAGCATCACTGATTCGACACAATACTTTTCACTTCCACTGGGTATTGGGTTGTGACTCAATGCATCAACGTGCCGCATTTATTGTCTCGGCTTATGTTCTATCTGATAATTGTATTCTTAAAGGCTCGGAACCCACCGACTTATTCTTGCATTAATTTCTTTCTTTTTGAGAGTATTCTGTACGGATCACAAATTCCATAACCAGTAGATAATGACGGAATTATTCAACACTAGCAATTATAGCAAGGAGCTCACTTTAGAAAGAATGAAATTTCTTTTTCTGGGTAGAAGTTTGCCTACTATAATACGCCACTGGCTTTTCGCCAACGTCTGTGAGTTGCATGAGTATTACACTCAATCTGTCTCGACTGGCATAAGCGTACATTCAGATCAAAAATTATGAGCAACGGTCTCCATATTAATATTTGCTTGAATTTTTCCACAGTCTGAATATGTTCATCTATCCGTACCTATTTTTTATCTTTTAGCAATAATTTTGTTAGTATGCTTGACTCATCAGCAAGTTTATGTATGAATTTTCTGAAGTAACTTATCAGACCTAAGAATCGGCGTAGTTGAAGAACATTCTTAGGTTGTGGAAACTTGTTTACCGCTTCAATTTCATGCTTGCCTGGATAAATACCGTTACCTGAAATCTGATATCCTAGAAACGTGATGTTTTCTTTGGGCAAATTAACCCTACATCGCGAGATTTTTTATTTTAAATAAAAAAATATATGTTTGGGCAGTTCACATCAAATTTTTTCTTTTGCTTCTTATCGAATCTTTTCAGAGTAGTTTTAGGTATTTCACCAGTATAGGAGGAGAGTAAGCAAACTGTTTTATTGTCTTCCTAGCAGACACACGAAATATAAACACCATCATGTGTACAAACTTCTTTCTCTGGTGGCAACTTACAATTTGATATTCTAGTTCTCTGTACTGTACCTAGAGAAAGTATTCCTCTGTTAGGTCTCAGTTCATGCAGTTTATCGTGATTAGTATCGTCTCTTGGTAACATATTACTGTTATCATTGAAATGAAATTACTGTCTTACTTTTTGGAATCTCTTCAATCAATCAATCAATCAAAATATACTTTATTGTCGAAAAAACTCTTGTTTTGTTAACAAAGTAGAATATATACATACAGAAATAAAATTTAGGCAGAATACTCACAATTATGTAAAATATAAATAAAATAAAAATAAAATTGTTATATAAACAAGCAGTATATAAACAAATACATTTATCAATTATACATTTTATTCAATAGAATAAGTGTCAATAAATAAATAAAATATCCATCATAAAATGTTATTTGAACATTTTGTCAATTTTACGACTTATAATTTAACAGTCTAATCGAGTATGCTATACAGTACCCGCTATAAATTACAGATGACAGTTCACAATTTCACTGGAAGTTGTCATTGTAAAATTCTTGCAAAAGTTTTTTTGTGGATTTTTTAAAGCTGTCAATACTAGCGTGGCTATTTCTAAAATGAGACGGTAAGTGATAATACATTTTAACACCGTTATAGAAAATGGAGTCCTTTACTAGGGATGAAGAAAGCAATGGTAATTTAAAATTATTTTTAGATTTTAGGCGAGTGCTATGACACGAAGGACTATATTCAAATTTTGACCTGTGTTTGTTTATAAGACACGCAGTTTCCATTACAAAGAGAGCCACAACTGTCAATATATTTTTTTCTGCAAATAACTGCCTACATGAATTGCGCGGTCCTAGTTTGAACACATTTCTAATGGCTCTCTTTTGCAGTTTAAGTACGAAATCTAGCAGACTAGAGTTACATACCCCCCAGAAAGGAATGGCATATCTCAGTTGAGATTCAATTAATGCATAATATGCGTTGTGGAATTGGCCGCGGTGGTAGTGCGTCCGACTCACGATCGGAAGGTCGTGTGTTCAATTCCCGCCTCGACCAGATATTTTTCTAGAGAGAATGTATCTGGTTGAAGCTGGAATGATTCTGCAACCGTGTTAGGAATCACACGTTGAAAGGTAAGAACTCGTTAGTCCTTAGCTCGCACAAGTTTCTCAACTTCTGAGAGTTGTCGTTCGTATGAGGGCGGCAGCTGATTAACGGAAAAACAGATTTTAAACAGATTTTTAAACAGATAGCCGTGGCAGTACCAAGTTCCCTTGAAATTATTCTCATTGCATAGCACCCTGAGGAGATTTTATTCTTCAATTGGTTGACGTGTGCTTCGAACTTAATTTACTGTAAATATAAAGGCCCAAAAATTTAGTGCAATCTTCATTTTCAATCTTCTCATTTTCTAGAGGCATATCTTCTAAAGTACATTTGAAAGTTACTATATTTGTTTTTTTTATATTAAAAGAGAGAAGATTAGACTCGCACCAAGACTTGATTACGTTAATATCTCTGATTATC